TTAGTCTATGATTATGTAGTTTTCAAATTTAACCTTTTTGGTATGTGTTAGTCTGATCAAAGTGTTGGGAGCTTGAAGCAAGAGCTTGGAACGATTCTTCCTGAACTGGAAGAGATGCAAAAGAGGAAAATTGAAAGAAGAAACCAGTTCATAGTTGTCCTGGAGGAAATAGATAGTATTACTAATGATGTTAAAGGTCAAGGAGAACATGCTCACTCGAAACCACTTATCAATGAGACTGACTTGTCTATGAGAAAGCTTGAAGAGTTACACTGCCAGCTACAAGCACTTCAGAAGGAAAAGGTGAGATTTGATTTGAACTTGCGTAATTTGCTTCTTTGTTTTTCTTTGATTATCTAAACCGTTAGATATGTATTTACTCCTTTTGTGGTGTTGTTTCCCTCAGAGTGATCGTGTGGAAACGATAAGGAAGCACTTGTGTACTTTGTATTCCCATTGTTCAGTACTTGGAATGGACTTCAATGAGGTTGTTGGCCAAGTGAATCCTACATTGAGTGATCCAGAAGGACCAAGAAGCTTAAGCGATCATACGATTGAGAAATTGGGGAATGCAGTTCAAAAGCTTAGGGAGATCAAGATACAGAGAATGCAGAGGGTAAATGATGACTTAATTTGACGAGTTATCTATAATTTTCTTCTTTGTTGTTGCTTAATAGTTGCCTATTTTATTTGATGAAGCTTCAAGATCTAGCAACAACCATGTTGGAGCTCTGGAATTTGATGGATACACCCATAGAAGAGCAACAAGAGTATCAGCATATTACCTGCAATATAGCTGCATCAGAACATGAAATAACTGAAGCCAACAGTCTCTCTGAAGACTTCATTAAATATGTAAGCTGTGGATATGATATTTTTTATATGGTTATATCGTTCTATAAATTCTACGACCAAACCTGAGTGAAGCTTTTTGATGTCCATCTTTGTAACTTATAACCTGACTTCCATTGCAATATACAGGTTGAGGCAGAAGTTGTTCGATTGGACGCGGTCAAAACAAGCAAAATGAAAGAACTTGTTTTGAAGAAAAGGTCAGAACTAGAGGAGATATGTAGGAAAACCCACTTGTTGCCAGTATCAGACAGTGCTATAGATCAAACTATAGCGGCAATAGAATCTGGTATCGTGGATGCGACAATGGTCCTGGAGCATCTTGAGCAACATATTTCTAAGATCAAAGAGGAAGCTTTAAGCCGAAAAGAGATACTTGAAAGGGTTGAGAAATGGTTATCTGCCTGCGATGAAGAAAGTTGGCTTGAAGAATACAACAGGGTTAGAGTCGAAATCATAAAAACTTTTATAAAGTTGCAAAAGTTCGTTTAAGCATTCTGATAATTTTCAATCTACAGGATGATAACCGATACAATGCTGGAAGAGGAGCTCATCTTACTCTCAAGCGTGCTGAGAAAGCTCGTAGTCTTGTTAACAAGCTTCCAGGTAAGTTACTTTTTGCTTTCGATATATCATACATGTTTATGCTCTGAAGTCCGAATGGATTATGAAGGTAGTATCGTGTAATATGCATTCATTAATTCAGGAATGGTTGAAGCATTGGCCTCCAAGACTATAGTTTGGGAACAAGAAAAGGGGATTGAATTTCTCTATGATGGTGTATGAATTCTCTACAAATCCGCTATTGTTTCAGTTGACTATTATTCATTATGTCATAGCTGACCATTTGTAATTCTCATTCTGTGTGTCTAGATCCGTCTTCTTTCTATGCTTGAAGAGTATAACTTGCTGAGGCAGGAAAGAGAAGAAGAACACCGTCGCCAACGGGTATGTACAAGTCCTTCTCCTTTTTGTTTCGATCAGAAACTTTTGACCAATATCATCCTCCTAATCCAACTCTATGAACTGTTTTCTACAAATTAAAGGATCAGAAGAAGCTTCAAGGACAGCTCATAGCAGAACAAGAGGCGCTCTACGGGTCCAAACCAAGCCCATCTAAACCCCTTGGTGGTAAAAAGGCTCCAAGAATGTCGACCGGTGGTGCAACTAACCGAAGACTCTCCTTAGGAGCAGGAATGCATCAGACTCCTAAGCCTAACAAGAAAGCAGATCACCGACATAATGATGGAGCTTTATCAAATGGTAATATAATGAAACCATTGGTTATCAACATAGTACTGAGTAGATTTCTTAATAGCATTGGTGAATGAATCTGAATCTTGCAGGAAGAAGAGGGCTTGATATTGCAGGGCTTTCCACAAGGAAACAGTCAATGAATCCTTCTGAACTGTTGCAAACTCCATTAGTTCGCAAACCATTCTCCCCCATTCCGACCACGGTGGTTGCATCAAAGGCCAACATAGCAACGACACAACAACAACAACTTCCGAAGAACAACGCAGTAAATGAGATGTCATCATTTGCAACTCCTGTCAAGAACAACATTCTTAGGAATCTGGAAGAAGAGAAGATGATGACTATGATGATGCAAACACCAAAGAACGTTGCTGCAATGATTCCAGTCCCATCGACACCAGCAACAATCTCTGTGCCAATGCATACGGCACCAACACCATACACCAACAATGCAAGGTTGATGTCTGAAAAGCCTGAGGTCGTAGAGTACTCGTTTGAGGAACGAAGACTCGCCTTCATGCTACAGTCTGAATGTGGTTTGGTTTGATTGACCATCCTTTGGTTTCAATCTTAAGTTCTTTTATATGTAAAACTCCAATTTGAACGTGGTTTGGTTTGTAAAAAGGTCAATTATATAATTGGCTTTTTCTTTTAAGTAATCAAAATACACGTATGGTTTCTTCGAGACTGAGAAGAAGAAAAATTAAAAAAAAAAAAAAATCTAGTCAACCTAATTTGTATTGACCACTTCACATTATTATTCGAAAATCCCACAAATTATTATTACCTGACTTGTCATAAGTTTGTTGTGGCTTTATTTGTTTGTTTAATCTTTAATCTACTGATGCATTGACCACTTTTTCGTCTCCATGTAAGAAGAGTTCAAACAAGCTTGTGGGTGACACAAGATATAATCAACTTTATAATTTACCTTACACAAAGATACTTCCATAGTTAATGTCTTGCGTTGCCTATTTTTGTTACTTAAGATTCACAGTAATTATATTTTCTAAACCAAACTGTTTTAATTATATGGATAGTTCAGAATTTAGTATGTTCAATAGGATACAAGCATTCATCATCTTTGGATACTTGTATAACATTTATTTGGAAGGCATTTGGATGGTTATTTAGCAAAACATCACTAGATCACATTTTATTTGGATGATTATTTGCATATCTAAATTTTTTTTCTTTGGTTTTTCTTGGCAAAAATAGTACTAATTGCGGATTGCCTATAATGTAACGAAAAGTAAAACCTCTATAAATTAATACTCGATAAATTAATAATTTCTATAAATTAATAAATTTTTCCGGTTCCAATTTGGGACCAGTGTAATTTTAGACACATTTCGATAAAATAATAAGATAATATTTTTTTTGAAAATCTTTTATAAATATATGGTCTCATCGATATTATAAATTAATAATTAGGTAAAATTTTCAATATATATGTATATATAGACACATCAGTTTTTGTTAGAGTTTAATTCTAATATTTTATTATATCAAAAATTGTTAGCATTCTTTTTCAATACATAATAATTCATTTTTCTCTGTAACTGATTATATGAAATACTAATTATCATGATTAAATCTTATTTTTAAATTTTTTTTGAAAAAACTTTCTAAATTAGGAAAATCTCTCTATAAATTAATAATTAGTAATTTATCTATAAATTAATATCTCTATAAATTAATAGATTTTCATGGTCCCAACATTATTAATTTATAGAGGTTTTACTGTATCCTCCGATATTTTCAACTGTACAAATAGTAACAATATTATTGGACATGTGTAAATAAGTCAAATCTTTTGAATTTAAAGCTTATTTTACAGCTAATTCTTAGTTTAAAAGGTTTGAGAGTTTGAGTTTTTTAGATATACTTTTCAAAGTTTTATAAGCTAAATGGATTTATCCAATAAAATTCATCGTTCAGGTTATAACTGAAGAATATAATTATCATAAAATCTGATTTTTACGGAAAGAGACAAAGTGGCTTGGTTATGAAATGTCTGTTGTTTGTAAAATATAAAAGTTTTGCTCCTAGAATGGGGAAATTAAAAGTCTCTAAACGAAATATATTATCATATATACAATTCATAATCAAAGTTGTTAGATCGATACTTAGGTCTAGTCTTATAAGTTATAACATAGGAGACCAAATCAACGACTGAACTATATTGTGCAATTTGTATCATTGTATGTTAATCACCCCCAACAACGATCATGATTTACATATATAGTTACATTTAATTCACTATAATAACTATAGATTAGGCTTTCTTGGTGGCGACTAAATAACCCAATTGACAAAAATAGATAGTTTTTGGTACGGAGCCATTACCAACTAAACTCCTAATATCAGGGATTAGGACAAGAGATTATGTTAGTTAGCTGGGAGGATTTAGAAGAAGGCTAAATATTGGTCAACTTGTTTTGGTATATAGAGTCAACCATGAATAATATTAGGTGACAGAAATGTCTCAAACCTTTTTATATATATATTTTTTAAAATAAAATGTGGAAAACAATCTCAAATTCAAAAGTCCAATTCGTATAGTGTGATTAAAAAATATTTAGCCCCCTACTCATTTTTTTATTAAAGTAATTAAAGTCTTTAGCTGTATCCCAAACTCCAAGACTTGTTAGAAAAAAGAGTGTAATTTTTTTTGAATTTTCTAATTAATCCCCATTATTACAATTTTTTAAAAAGAATTACACTTTTCTCGTTTCTCTCTCCTTTTTGTAAAAAAAAACTTATAAATTCAAAATGTAGGAATGTAATAATAAATAATATCCGCTCCTTTGATTTATATATTTTTTCCTATATTTATATAATTTCTTTTTGATCTCTTTCCATTCTCCCCAAAACCCTAATTTCTCACATCTTTTGTAAAGAAATTTATTTCTGCCTAAAACTTAACCCAACTCGTAGAAAAAAAAAAGAAAAAGAGAAAAAAAAAAAAAAACTACTGGTAATTATGAATGTTTTAGGAGAAATTTTTCTGAAATTAAGATTCCGCCATGGAAGCTTTTGATCTTTCTCTTCTTCTTCACTAGTTTTTTTTTTCTACTTAATTTCAAACAAATACTCTTCCGAAAAAAGAAAGAAATAAAAACTTGATTTTTATTCTTCCCCTTTTCTCTGAATCTTACGTTCTCTGGATCTTTCTTCTCTCTCTCTTTTTCTTTCTCTATCTATATTGTCTATACTTTAAGTGTCTGTCTGAAGAAGCTTGAATCTGTCGTGATCAAACTATATTCGACTTCTCTTGTCTTTTAAAGTTTGTTTCTTTTTTGTTGGGTCTTCTTCTTCCTTAATTCTCGGAATCAGAATCTTTGGGATGGAGGAGAGAGAAGGAACTAACAACAACAACAACAACATCACTACCGGTTTTGGTCTGAAACAACATCTACATGAAGCTCCTCCTTCTGGTGATGGTGGTGGTTTCCACATGGAACCACCACGGTCTGAAAACCCTAATCTTTTTCCGGTGGGTCAATCCAGCACTGCCTCTACGGCGGTGAAAGCTTCTGAGAATGCTGCTCCTCCTTTTAGCTTGACAATGCCGGTGGAGAATTCGTCTTCTGAGTTGAAGAAGAGGAGAGGGAGACCGAGGAAGTATAACCCTGACGGCTCTCTCGCCGTGACTCTCTCTCCGATGCCTATCTCCTCCTCTGTTCCGTTGACGTCGGAGTTCGGGTCTCGTAAACGAGGTAGAGGACGAGGGAGAGGGAGAGGAAGAGGAAGAGGTAGAGGAAGAGGAAGTGTAAGTGGTAGTGGAGAGCCCAACAACAATAACAATTGGCACAAGAGTCCTCAGATGTTCGAATTCGACAACAGTCCTAGTTCTGGTAATGTCTCTATCTCACAACTGTCTCTATATACATTGGTCTCTCTTGGAATCAATAGATGGCTTTTTAAATGGATCGTATGCTATATTGGATCTCCTTTGTCTTTTGGTTTGACTTGTAAAAAAGGAATTGGAATAAGGACAAAGGACAACATTGGTCCTGTAAAGCAAAAGGAATGTTACTGTCCAGTAAACTGGATTTTGTGTCAAATCTGAAAAGGGTTGAATTAAAAGGAAAATGCCCTTAAGAGTAGATGAAGAAGAAGAAGCAGTTTAGGGAAACTAGTTAGGATTCTTTGATGTGTGTGATTAAGAATATACATTTATGTAATATCTCGATTAATTTGTAGGCACTGGTCTTGTTTACATAAGGGCTTTCACTTGACCTGCTTGCTGTTTTGGTTTTAGCAATTCTTCTGTTTGGCAACTAACAACTCAAGATTCCATCTTACTAGAGATCTTTTTCTTGGTTAGATTTTGTGTGTTTTTTTTGCTGTTTTTACTGATTCATTTTGATGTTAACTTTTGCAGGTGGAGGACCTGCAGAATTTGTCAGTCCAAGTTTTACACCTCATGTGCTCACAGTAAATGCCGGTGAGGTATGTCCTGAGTAATTCTCTTTTACTTGTTCTCATTTACTGAATATACGTTAGTATAAATGTCAGTTTAGTGACCTTAATATGAACAGATTGTCACTATGATAATTTACTAAGCTTGTTAATCTTGACTAAGTCGTTTCGATTTCTTACTCTTTTTGGCCCACTGGTTCTAACAGGATGTGACAATGAAGATAATGACCTTCTCTCAACAAGGCTCTCGTGCTATCTGCGTTCTTTCGGCCAACGGTCCCATTTCCAATGTTACACTTCGTCAATCTATGACATCTGGTGGTACTCTCACTTATGAGGTCTGCTCTCTCTCTCTCTCTCTCTTCGCCCTGTCTTAGCTTCCAAGTTTTTTTTTTTCTTTTTACTGAATTATAGCTAACAATTTGTGGTCAGGGTCATTTTGAGATACTTTCTTTGACTGGTTCATTTATACCAAGCGAGAGTGGAGGAACCAGAAGCAGAGCTGGCGGGATGAGTGTGTCTCTTGCTGGACCAGATGGTCGTGTCTTTGGTGGTGGACTTGCCGGTCTCTTTATAGCCGCTGGACCTGTTCAGGTAAATAACTTAGAACCTGATGAGGTGTTGATCTCTTTAATGGACTCGAGTGTTTGTATATCGTTTTAAGCATTTTTGTTTTTGGAACCGATGTATATTGTTCAGGTGATGGTAGGGAGTTTTGTAGCGGGTCAGGAGGAATCACAGCAGCAGCACCAGCAGATAAAGAAGCAAAGAAGGGAAAGACTCGGGATCCCGACAACAACACAAGCGTCTAACATCTCATTCGGTGGCTCAGCGGAAGATCCAAAGGCTAGATACGGGATCAACAAGCCTGTTGTTATTCAGCCACCAACCGCGCCAACACCACCAGTGACCTTTTCGCATGAGCCAAGTACTAACACAGTCCACGGTTACTATGCAAATAACACAGCTAACCATATCAAGGATCTCTTCTCTTCCCTCCCAGGAGAAGATGATGAAGAAGAAGATGAGGATTTAGAAGGTGAAGATGATGAAGAATTTGGAGGCCATAGCGAATCTGACACCGAGGTTCCAAGCTGATGATCGATGACATTGATCAACAACCATGATCTTGAGTTGCTGCGGCTTTTTATATCTGAGATTTGTTTAGAGAGTGTAACGGTATTTTTTTTTTTGCTTCAGATTGTAGTTGTTTTCTTAAACAAAAGATATTTCACTAAAAGTTAGGGTTTATTAGAGGATGTAATCTTTAGGGTTCTTTGACTTGTTTCATTCCTTATTATCCCCAAGTGGGTTGTTGTAGAAGTGCAAAACTTTAGTGTGTGTTCTTCAATCAACTCTTCAATGACTTCATTATGAAACTACCCTTAATTTGATTGATTCATCTTTTATGCAATCTATCTAACATAGTACATCCTACAACTGTCCCATTCATAAATATGTGTGTTCATTGAATCAAGATTTTGTGTATATATGTTACTTTAAAGTTTGGTAAACACACTAGTAGTTGTATTCTACCAAGTTATAAATACCTAATGGATTAAGAAGTAGATACTTGTGTTAGTTTACTAGAGTGTGTAGGTCTTTGGGGTTCTTTGACTTGTTTCTTATTTTCTTACCCCAAGTGGTTGTAGAAGTTGTGTGTTCAGTTCAAATTCTCTTCTTCAATCAACTCTTCAATGGGTTCGTTTTAAATACTCAACTAAACTTCATTGATTCTTCTTTATAGAATCTATATACTGTTTACAACTACTCGATTTAATAACAATGTGTTCATTGAAATGACAAATTTACATTTATCATGTGATTCATATTTAAAGTTTAAAACTTACTTGTATTCAAGTGTAGTTATAAAGACCTCATGGTTCCATATAGAGTTTCTTAATTTACAATAATATTTCACGTTTAATTTTTCTTCGCTTGTAAAAATATTTCAGAAACTGAATATAAAAATGATTTGTTGAAGAGAAGTTGTCAAAAAAAAAAAAAAAAAAAAAAAAGTTGCAATTTAATTTGAGAATTTAAAAAGTTGGTTTGGATACAGTCTCTCCCGACAATGACTTCATTTTGAAACCCAACTGAAACTCAACTCTACTGTTCCGTTCATTGAATTTGACATTTTAAAAAACTTTTTAATGTATATATTTTTTTTCTTTGAACAAAATTTATTATGTCTATCTATGCTACTTTAATTTCTTTAGTGTTGTAAAAAATAAAAATAGTGTTAAATATTTTTATCTTAGATGTAGTTTGAGCATTTATCAAATATTTTTATCTTAGATGTAATTAAATAGTACTTTTAGGTTTACAACTTTTTTTCTTGCGTGGGTCGTGACACATTTTTTCTCAAATCGCAAACTTTTACACATTTGATAATGGAATCTTCTTTTTCTAAATAGGGTGTTGTATTCGAATTTGTTTTTCTAAGCTAGTGAATGAATAATTTTGTAGACATTTTGCTAATTTATCAATTTGATAAAGGCTCATATGGTGGCTGACAATGACAATAAGGAAGAAGAGAAAATAAATAAATAAAAGTATTCAGAAAAATAGCACAAGAAAATTCATATACAAGCCTCCAAAATTTGGCATTTCGCATAATGAGTCACATAATATTATATTTACCAATTTTTTTTAAAAAGAATTTATAATGAAGAGAAATTGCAATTTCATTCAACCAAATAATTGAAAATGTTAGATATCTTCCTTAGTTGGCAAGTGTTTTCAAATAATCTATATAATAAATCCAAATTTGATCTAGAAGATAATCACATCATCTTTGTCGGATTTATTCATATGTTAGCTTATTCTCTTTTTTTTTTTTTTGTAAATAGACTTATGGATTTGATTTTAACTAGAAATATGCTTTTTCCTCTCTGTCGAAGAGTCGAACAAACCACAATAATAAATTGTAATTTTCAACCTACCAAATATGTTATACTTGCATCTACACATATTTACTCTACTCATGAATATATTAGTATTTTCATTTTTTTCATTTGGTACAATAATCTTTTTGGCTGGTTGCAAGAGGATTAGGCGTATTAATTTTTATTTTCTTGGAAAACCATGGCTACAAAATTATCCACATGTATACAAAATCCTGGTTGAATCGGATCAGGAAATATATGATTTGTTCTTTAATTTGATTTTTTTGAGTGTCGTTTTCTATTTGTTTCGTTTGTAACTTTGTTTGATAGTAAAAATTACAAGTAACCAACTGTGATTTGATTTTAATCTGGTTTCCTTACAAATTTACTTTTAGTTTTAATTCATTAGAAGAAAATTACAATTATGTTGTCTTCATATAGTATTAAGAACACATTGTTACCATAAGTATAAACAGAAAACTCTGATTAATTAGTGTAAGAGATAATTACAGGTCTCTTAGTGTTCTCTGATTTCCATTGAGTATTAACTTTACGAATAAACTCTTCAACTCTTCTTCGAAGCACACGTTCCATTTCGCTCTCATTCTCTTCTTCTTCTTCTTCTTCTACTACTACTACTAAGCTCCCTTTCTCGTCCTTCTCCGATAAACTTGAACCGGGTCTCAAACCGGGTTTTTTGGTTAACGATTTATCAGAACCGGCTGGTTTGGAGGAGAGACTAGTTGACTTAGATATCAACCCGGGTTCTTGTAAACCGGTCTTAGAGATGAGATTCGACTTAGTCACCAAAACAGATTTTTGAAAACCGGGTTTAGAAGAGTTAACCGACTTAGATATCAAACCGGGTTTAGAAGAGGGAACTGATTCATATATCAACACAGGTTTCTCAAGACCGCATTTAGGAGAGACATTCGACTCAGATGTTACAAAACCGGGATTGGGAGAAAGAACCGAGTCGGATATCAACACGGATTTCTCAAAACCGGGGTTGGAGGAGAGAACCGAGTCAGGAAACATTGCGGATTTCCGAGAACCGGGATTCGATTCGTCTTGAGAACCCGGTTTATAATTTCCCATGAGGATCAAGATGATGATGAAGTTGCAAAAAAGGAACATGAATAAAGAATTGGAAGTAGTCTTGTTGACAAGCTCAAAAACTGAATCTATCATCTTCTTTAAATCAGAGAAAAAAAAAACACAGAGAAATTGAGAGATTGAAGAAGAAGAAGAAAGGGTTGGTTGGTGTTTTGAGGGAAAGAGACTGGCTTCAAAAAAGAGGTTTAAATTGAGGAAGAGAGACTTCTAAGACAAGTTCTATGATGACAAAGACTGCTGACTAAAGTTGTTGGTATCTTATTTTTTAATAACAACATTTTTATTTAAAACAACTATAAGTGATTAATATCAAACTCCTTGCCAGCTAAGTTGCACATAATAAGTAAGTCCCTAACAACTAATTTAAGTCTTTTTATAACAACACATGGGTCTTTCTTAATTCAATTATTTATAATTACTACATTATAAATCAAATATACTGCTTACTGTATACACATGGGTTTTTTTTTTCCCTTAATATTAAAATATGACTGTGATTTGTGAATAAGATTTTATTTATTTATTTATTCATTGGTTTCAACTTTCAACAATGATTTTACAATTTGTTTATTACAAAAGATGATTGTCTATTCAAAATATAAAGATTTCTTTCTTTTTCCCTAATAGTGCGTCGTATTTTCTCCTACATATCATAAACAAAATATATATATACTGTATGTTTATAAATCGTTGTCAAGATTTTTGATGACAAAAAAAAAAAAAAAAAAAAAAAAAATCGTTGTCAAGATCAAAAGAAACAAAGGTAAAATTCGCTTTTATTCCTCTTCATAAGAATTCAAAGTACTTTGTGTTATTATATATGTACCGTAATAACAACAATATCACCATGGATGAAACCCATTGAAACATAAAAAGAGACAAAATCCAACAAATTCACACTAGTTATATAAATTTAAAACATAGTCTGAGAAATCCAAAGAAACAAATTCAATTCACAACCCCCAAGTGAATCCTCCTTTAGTCATCGTTGACCTGAGCACTAGCCGCCTCCATCAAACCGTTGCGTATCTGGTCGCTGATGTCCCTCACATGTCCAGGACCGTGAGGAAGAAACACTGTTGTGTTCTTTGAAGAGTTTCCAAGGTCTCTTATAGTGTCAAAGTACTGTGTGATCATGATCAAGTCCATTACTTCTTTGGCTGATGTGCCTGTTACTTTGTCAGAGAAGTTCAATATGTTCTCCCTCAATCCATCAGTGATTGCTTGCCTCTGTCTAGCCACTCCCACACCGCCTAAGTATTTGGCTTCCGCTTCTGCCTCAGCTCTCTTCACTTGGAGAATCTTCTCTGCTTCTCCTTTGTAAACACTAGCCAGCTGGAGTCTTTGTGCTACATTTAAGCATAATGTATTTAAGAAGCAAAAAATAGAAATGAAGTCCACAAACTGTAAATTAACCAAACATTTACAACTTTGACAAAACATACTAATAGACAGAGTCCTCTCATCATAAAATGTATAAATTTTTCTATGCTTCAATGTGAAAAACTAAACTTTACCTGCATTGATTTCGTTCATTGCCTTACGTACAGAGGGATCGGGAAGAATGTCAACCATTAGAATGTGCTCAATGCTGTATCCATAAGCCCCCATCACCTGCAGAGACAATTCCAATCATGACCATTACAGAACTCTACACCAGTCCCGAAAGCACGCTACCCTCGAATATATGTTATTACTTTTCTAGTTTTCTCTATGCAATACACAAATCACACATACCTATGAGAACACTTTCTAAGGCTCAAGTTCCACCCATTAGTTAGCTCAAAACTTAGGATCACGATAAAACATCAAGTGTCTCACAAACTGGTACCTATATATTGCCATGAATACAGAGTCTCGAACAGAACCAAACAAACACTAAATGTTTGTAACTTTTCTATATGAAATCAAAACATGTCTACTTGATCACCACTTTATAAAGGGTCAGAATTCACCCATTAGTTAGCTTAACAAATGGAGGATCACGATACTGAAATCTCTATCTTATTATGAACAAAGAGTCTCTAAACATACACAAATGAATGAGATAATAAAAGGAACAACAAGTTATACCTTCTCAAGCTCCTCAAGAACAGACTTGGCAACTTCACCCTTTTGCTCAAATAGAGCATCTAGCGTCATCATTGGAACCAAAGCTCTAACCACTATGATTCAAAAAAACAAACACAACAAACGAAATCAAGAATCAAAAGAGAGCTGATTCCACAACCAACCAAAAAAAAAGATATCAAGCTAAAAAATTACCATCAAAGACATAAGCTTGGATCTGCTCCCTAGGGTTTTGTAGCTCATAAAAAGCATCATCAGCACTAGCTTTCACTACACGATACTGAATCGAACAAACCAGCTGCACAAACACATTATCCTACACAACAACAAACAAAACAAAAACACCTAATTTACAAGAATTCACAACACATAATAAACCAAAAATCCCCAAAGATTCGAAATAAACTGATCTGAAACCTTAGTTTTGGTTTCAATCTTGACATCAAGAGAGTTGATCCTGGTCGATAAAACTCCGGCGAGCCATTGACCAGCGAGAGGGTTAAAGAAATGGCACCCTGGCTCAGCTATATGCTCGAATCGACCCCAACGTTCGACCACACCAACGCTCGCCTGATCGATACAACCACCGAGGATACAATACGCGTTCCCCATCTCTACGCGGCACTCAAAAAATGAAGAAGAAGACCAAGTCCCTGGTTTATAAATCTCTGTGCATATAATAATGATCAATGTCTTTTTTAGCTACCGTCCGATCAAGCGGTTTAAGAGAATTTGGACGGTTAGGATTAGTGAGCTATACTATGTCCACGTCACCAGGATTTTTCCTAGTTTAGATATTTTCGTATAATCCATTTTTGACCAAGGAAATTATATTTTCTGTGTTTTCCAATTATATACTCTTTAAATTATAATTATAATTATTTCGTTTATAATCGATTCAGATGAAAAGTTTCATAGACTTTATAATTTTTGTATCCAGATCTAGATCCAAATTGTGACTTTATAAATTTGATATTGATTCATTCTCAATCTCAAAAATTAAAATAAAAAAAATTGTCTTTTGTTATACTTTTAGTCAGATTTTATATATATTTGACAAAAATTGTGTGGGAAAGTATTTTTAAAAAGACAAAAGTTCCATATTTATCTGGAAGGAATGTACTTACTTGTCTTCTTCTAAGGCTGAAGAGTAGCTTAAGACAGAACAGATCATACCACAAAACAAAAACAAAGTACAACACATTGAACTTAAACGTCAATGGGAAAGGGGAAAAAAGCACCTTTTCTTCACCCTAAACACAAGAAAAGATGACTAACAAACCCTTCCTTGATTCCTAAGATACATCAGAAACTAGCCTCAAGAGAGAGTTCTCAGAGACAGCTACTACAGTTCCCGAGCTCATGAACAACAGCTTCCACGGACGGTCTTTCGATGGGAGATTCGTGAGTGCATAGCCACGCGATTCTGGCTAGCTTTGTGGCTTCGTATTCAAAGAATCTTCCTTGAAGATTTGGATCGATGTAATCATTGAACCTACAAGCTTCAGTTCCTAGCTTAACAAGATGCCTAACCTTCTGTTTCCCGGAGATTATCTGAAACACAAGGACCCCGAAAGCGTAGACATCGGTTTTCTCGGTGAAACGTCCTGTTGTGGTGTATTCTGGAGCGAGATATCCCATTGCTGCACTGTCTTTGAGTGCAGAGAAGACAATGTCGTTTGTCAGAAGCGTGTGGAGGCCTGAGTTTGAGAGTAGTGGATTGTATCGATGGTCGATTAGGACTTTCTCTGCTGAGATGTTTTGATGAACCAATGCTAGCTTGTTTCCTTTGTATGAATGTAGATAGGCAATCCCTAAACACAAACATGAAATGCATAAACAAACTATCAAAGTTGAGAGAATCAAGAACTAAGAAATTGGCTTGGCATAAAACCATACCCTTTGCAATGCCTTTGGCGATAGATACTCTTGTGGACCAATCAAGAACATGTGTATCGCCATCTTTAAGATCGAGATAGCTCAGTAGATTTCCATTGGGAGCAAAATCATAGATGAGAAAGCATTCTCCACGGCCTCTTGAGCAACAGAAACCTCTAAGTCTTGCCAAGTTTTCATGCTTCAGAGACGCCAACATGTTGAGTCCTTTCAAGAACTCAGGTTCTTCGGATTTGCAACTGGTTTTACTAAACCTTTTGATCGCTACAGCCGAACCATCTCTCAAGATTCCTTTGTAAGTCGCGGAGAAGTTGCTTTTTCCGAGCAAATTCACTTCTGAGAAGTACTGTGTAGCAGTTTCAACCTCTTCTAGATTAAATCGAAAGCTCTGGATAACTTCTTGAGCAAAGACACTGAGATTCCTATTGTCTGAAAGTGGATCCCAACCATTGGTATATTCAAGACTGGCTAATGGAGAACCATTGTTCTTCCTAAAGCCTCCTCCTAAGGTGTTGGAAGGGGTGTCCGACATTTCATAAGCGGTTGAAAGCTTCTGTCTGCGTCTGCGATAATGCGTGAACAAGAGGATGCTAACAGCAGACAAGGCAATGGTCGAGACAACCAAACCTATAAGGATTGCACCTTGGTGAGATTTTGGAGGAGCATTACAGTTTGTTCCATTACAAGGTAACCGGAGATTAGCTGATTCTGGTATATCCCGGGATGGGAAACCAGTCACGGTGGCACTGTAAGGCTTGGGTTCCTCGTGAGCTGTGCCATTGCAAGATTTCAAAGACGAGAACTCAGCTCCACATAACCCCAAGTTGTTATCAAAAGCAAAACCTTCATTCAGTCTCTTCAATACTGTCAAATTGGTGCAAAAGAGTAAAAAAAAAAAACATAAGTCCATGATGAGAAACACTACACAAATAAGTCTTAACATATACATATAGCGTAATGTTTCATAAGAATCACTCTTCTAAGCTGTTATCTCTAATAATGAGGGAATCAGTTGTCTTACCAGGAGGTACATTGCCAGTAAGAGAGTTGTTGCGGATGTCGAAAACTCGAAGCATAGGAGGGTTAGCTAACTTGCCTGGCACAGAACCAAACAAGTGATTGTAGCTCAAATCTAACCGCTCTAAAGCACTTAAATCCCCTAAACTCGCAGGTATAGC